ATATATATATATATGTGTGTGTGTGTGTGTATATATGATATGTTGATGAATCATGGCGTCGGTGGTGGGCAGCTCTGCTAGGATTTCACCCAATGGCGATTCCCTACGTTGAATCCTTCGGCTTTCAATCCATCGATTTCGTTGTGCCCGACGACGAAGGTCTTGTTGTACTCTCCTCCTGACGCATTCGCGCCATCGTTTCGTCCTGCCCGACGACGAAGGCCTTCGGCTCCTCTGTTCCGTCGTCTTCGTCGTCTTTTTGTGCTTCGTCGAGGCTCCATCTTCTGCGGTTTGTGTCTTCTGCGCGGCTGTTTCGTCTATCTTCGTAGTGCTTGTCGAGTTGTGCCTTTTTTGCAGCTTCAACTTCTACGGCTTCGCCCCTACCGTCTACGGCTCGTTTCTGCTTTGCCCTCTACTCGACTTGGCAGGGCTTTTCCCTGTTGTGATGGAGCTCCCTTCTTCGGTTGAACCTGACAAAACCTCCTTTGACCGTGTGGTGGGCGATACTCAAGTGGAGTCAGCGGTTGTCTTCTCCTCAAGTTACAAGGAGTATCGTAATGATACAGGTGATTGTCCCTTTATTAAGAATGCAACTAGGAAAAGTAGGAAAGCAGCATTTTTTTTCTCTGAGTTAGAAATTTCAACCGTAACTGAGACACTCTTATTGAAAAATTTCAGTTGGGGCATCCTCCTATGGAAATTATCAAAAAAAATTTTAATGATCTCAAACTAGATGGAAAGTGGAAAATGGGACTCATGGATAGGAGGCATGTGTTGATTCAATTAACCGTATCTGAAGGCTACACGGATTTTCTCCAAAAAAATATCTTAACATTGCAGGCAAGTCAATGAAATTACTCAAGTTGTCTCCTGATTTTGACCCCAATAATGAATCTCCTACTGTACTGGTATGGTTTAGTCTACCTGGTATAAAGCTGTACTTTTTTCATTATTAAGTTCTTTACTCTATTGAGGCCATAGTTGGGGATCCTATGAAGCTAGATCTACCCACTTTCAACCTAACAAGATCTTTTGTGGTCATAATACTTGTGGAAAGAGATATTACTTTACCTGATGTTACTGAAGTCTGGTTGGGCACAACTCATAATGAATATTGACAACAAATCATCCTGGAGCATAGACAAACATCCTTATTGTTCTCATTGTAAGATGTTTGGGCATACACTTGATAAATGTTATAAGTTATATCCTAATTTAAAATCTAAAGATCAAGTAAATGAGAATGGATCTAACTTCACTGCTCTAGACATATTTGTTCCACCTGGAGAGAAAACTACCACAGGACAGGATTTGGTGTCTGACTTAATTTCCCTTGTGGACCCCCTGAAAATACTGTTTCTGCGACTGATGTGAAGCTGGGTGGCTCTGCTGAGCAACTTACACTTTCAAACCTTACTAAAAATATTACTGAAGGATCCCTACCTACACGGACAGATAATCAGGAGAACCTTGCAGTTTCTCATCTTTAGGAAGTATCAGAGGTAGAGGCGACAACTCATACCTCACATACACTAGAACCTATTGTGAGTACAACTGTTGAAAATCTTTCTACTACAGCACTACCACGACCTCATTCGAATAAGCAACAATCTTCTGATGAGGAATGACAGGCTTACACTTTTAGGAGGAAGAAGAAGAATGGAGATCTACTTCAATTAAGGAATCTAATGGATAATACTTTGGTTACTTCGGGCAATAATATGCACCGCACCAACTTTTTAGTTGGTTCCCTTTCGAGAACTAGAGGCAGAACTAAATTGAGTCGTCCTGATTGATCTTATATGTATCATCTCTTTTCGGGTTTTTATTTTTCTTTTTCGTGTGTTGTACCGTGTAGGTTGGGTGCCTATTTGGGTCTACTCATTCAACCTATCTGTACCATTTTCGCTTTAATATAATTGCCCCTTAGGCTTTTTAAATATATATGTATGTACATGTATATATATATATGTATGTACATGTATATATATATATGTATGTACATGTATATGTATGTATATGTATATATGTATGTATGTATATATAAAAAAACTGGAAAAACACAGAACCAGCGAAAATTAGTTGAACTGAAACCATTTGAAAAAGCTGAGACAAGTAGCAAACCCTATGTGGAGTCAGAGTGCAGCCACAGTTTTTCATAGAAAATACTAGACTGTCACTTTAAGGAACATCACTATAGAGTAACTTCAAAATAAGAAAAGTGCAAACTTGACAAAGAGGTTTGATAGAATTATATATGAATAAACAACAGCTACCTTCTCTCCTACTTTTTCCTGCTGCTGCCTCATTTTTTCAAGCAACTTTTCCAAACCCATGTTTACTCTCAACCTCTTTTCCTGAACCAAATGACGGAATTTCAAGCAACAGTACAGGGTAAATAATCATTAAAAACTCAAAACATATAGGGACAAGTGATCCTGCAAAATACAAGGATAGTGTCCTACAACTAACCGATACCACAGCATACAGGTATGCACAAAATGGAGAAACATGCCTTCACATAGCTGACTCCAAGTTCCTCCCTAGTGTAACCACGAGCCAAGTTCCGCATCACATACTGATTGTAATCTTTTAGCATCCTCATTATAATGTCAGATGTAGAGATACCATCTGTGCGCTTCGTCTCCTTAAATTTTCCGACTGATTTGACCTGAATTTGCGAGGATATAGTCAAAGGTAAAAAAAATACTGTGATAAAAGACCTGTTAACATATAAGCAATTGAAAGAACACCATGCACATTAAAGGAACGAACAGCATGCTAACAATACACACCGATCAACTTACAAATTCATAAACATCCTTTCCAGCTCCACTGACATCAGCATATCTAAAACAAAAGGGATGGTAAAAATAAAACATGTGCTCTCGCTTAAGAATAAAAGAGGGAACAAAAAAAAAGCAATAAAAAATGATATGAGTCCAAAAATGCTGAAAATTGATAACTTTTGCAGTAGAATACAAAACTTACGGGAGAGAATCATGAGCTACGAAATCAATCTTGTGCTTGTCTAGGAACTCCTTAGTGATCACCCAAGGAGCATCTGGAATAACTTCATCAACCCACCTAGATTAAGAAAAAGGTCGTTTCATCCTCAGCTGCATAGATTTCCAAGCATATTGGAGAACATATATAATAACACTCAGAGAGAAGATCATTGAACTTTCAGTTGAACAATTTTAATCTTCACATTATAGTATTATTGCCATCAGGTTAAGGTGCAAATTGGACCATGAAGGGAGATTTAAAAAACAACATTAGTAAAGTTTATATGAGGTCCTTTCCCAGACTAGAATAAATTAAAGTACCTGCAATGTCTAAGAGACTCATAACGTTCATCCTCAGTCATAACAGTCTTGCCCTTGTACCTATGAGTAAGTTCGTCATTGCAGCATCCCACAAGAAGGTAAGTGTTTGGAAATCTGAAACATGACAACAATTAATTAGAACACAAATGCATTTCCTCACTACAACTAAACGCATTAGAACAAAATGAATAAACATAGCTTTAACTCAAATGACAAAAAATTAACTGACCAAATTTGATGGCCAAAAATATTAGTTCCATAAAATCTACGGTACAGTCTTTGTCCAAAGGCTTCCAAACACTTGTTAGCACCAGTGAACCATTTACCCTTCGCACATCCTCACCCACCCTTCCACCATTAGCACATCTTTATAGCCGTATTTAAATAAATAAATTATTTTAAAACTTAACTTTTACTTATTAAATTTCATATAATTATTGGCAATAATCGTCTATAAGAATATATCAAAAAACCAAACAAAAGACGTGATCATAATATTAGAAGAAAAGGATAGTAAAATTTGATGAATACTAGCAACATTTCCCCTTATCCTGATTTTCTAATTTGTAAGTAGATTTTATCATCAGAGAAAATTAATAAGTATCTGTGTGCAGGATAAAATTGCAGGAAAATCACTTACAAGAAAATAGTTTCCTACAGGATATACATTTCTTCTAAACATAGTGCAGAAAGATAATTACTATAAAAAACTTCTATAATGAAACTTTATGATATTCTCCAATAATACATAATACTTATATGTGGAGGATAAATATTAGGAAGGAAAGATTTATATAAACCTTTGGGATAAACGGAACCAAAGATTATAACCTATTTAATGGCAATCAATACCAATCACCACAATGATTATCACAAAACTCTATTATACTATGATCTTTCTAATCATTTTTAGAAGAAAGTGGAAGATTATAGCATAATTCATTTCTCCATTAGTATATCAACAAAAGCACCTAATATTTGGCAATCATAAAGAAAGAAAATAAATTTCAATGAAGAAATGCAATCTTTCTCAAGATATATTCTATAGAGAAATCTACCCCAATTAATCTAAATTGATATTCTTCCATCGGACATCTCTGGGTAGTTCTAAAATTTGAGATTACATACTTTCAATGAGCAAACATATATAACAGTTTCCCAGCATTGCATGGATGGGGGACGACGAAGCAAAGAATCACTTTTTTATATTATATTATTTTATAGGCCACCCATGATTTATTGCTAAGGATATTAGAATGTGAATGGAGTTGCTTTTTGCAATGAGGCAGATATTTCTTGATAATCAACCACAAATGATTGAATATGTCATTTTGCTACCAGTCTGATTTTATACATTTCTAGTCTCTTATCTGCTTAGCATTTAGTTGTGAAAATTCACTTGCATTTTACAGTCTTCTTATAATTTGGTAATTCAACGATCACCTATGTATATTTTTTTCTAAGGAAGTCATCTTTTCTCTTATAGTGTCATTCTATCTTTTATTTCAAGTGTCTTGAATAAAATTAATGAAATAAAAATGTGTTCAGTATTTAATGTTGATTAGAAAGGCCTTATTAGAGGACAACAATTTATGAAAAGAAGCGCCCGTGAGATAGAATATAAATAAATAGCAATTGACTGACCAGTGTTACCTAGTAACGATTCTGAATTCTAAATTTGTTGGAGATTCTAGTTGGGCTTATTCCTTCTTGTATAGACCAAATAAGAAATAGTTATTACAAAACTTAAATTTACAGAATTTTGAGTTAGCAGGAAAAAATATCATCAAACTTATTTTCAAATTGGGAATTCTCCCCTATGAGTTCATTAATGACATCCATTAAAGTGAAGAATCTATTTCTAGGTGGGTGATAGCTATTGTATTCCTTTTGTGTAGCAAAATATCTTATAAATGCACACTTAAGAGCTCTAGGATCAAGTTTTTCTCTTTGCTATTTATGAATATAAGCATAAATAACACATCCAATAACTTTAGGAGGAATTTTTAGGAAGCTACTAATAGAAAAGAACTCTCCTAAATAATTTAAAAAACTTTTGGAATCAATTACTCTAGAGAGTACTCTACTGACTAAATAGGGTAACTATCAGAATAACTTCTTCTCAATATTATTTTGGGCTATAATTGTGGAGAAAAAAGTCCTAAACACCTTCAAAAAGTTGGCAATTTTTCCTTTCAACCATGTCCTTTTGTTGATGAGTGTTAAAGGAAAAAAATAATACCCATTATATTAAAGAATGATGATGATTTGATTAAAAATAATCACGAGCATTATCAATCTAAATAAATTTTATTGTTGTACTTGAATTGATTCCTTCTCATAACAGTGATTATAAGAAATATAGTGCTAACATCAAATTTTTGTTTAATTAAATATACTTATGTCATTTGAATGCAATCATCAAAAAACGTACTAAAATCAATTAGTCCAAAGATAATAGGAATTTTAGATGTTTCAAAATATAAAAATGAATTAACACAAAAAGGCTACAGTTTTTATAGTTACATTCGTGAAAAAAAAACACAATGATTTGACAACTTCACAAGTTTCACAATGAAAATTTTTAATACATATATTTACAAAAAAAAGGAAAGGAAAAACATATTGATAAATTTTAAGAGAATGATGCCATAATATATATTGGTGTCCAGATGATGCCGGTTGTATGAAAGATAAATGAGCATGATAACCAATCTTGATCCTCAAGAAGGTATAACCCATATTTTTCTCTAGTTTATCCATTCGCCTTTCTCATAACAAGTTCTTGAAAAACACAATGATAAGTAAAGAAAATGATTTTACAATTATGATCTTTAGTAAATTTTTGAATAGATAAAAAACTAATTGCAAAGTGTGGGACATGCAATACGTTCATGAGCGTACAATTGGGAAAATTTAGAATTTCTTCTTATCCTGCAATAATTGTTAAAAATTCATTTGTAGCATTCATTTTCTTATTGTCCGGACAGAGTTTGTAAGTTTGAAATATAATGACAATTTATCATGCAATCAATAGCTCTAAATCAATGATCCAAGAAAAGCAAAAAAGGAAAATTAATTAGAGTTACTAAAAACATATAAATTAAGAATCGTATCATTTTGTGCAAGAGAGCAAGATCCAGATGACTTTCCTAACAAACTGAGAAAATTATAATTTATCAATATACTATGAATTGCGTCCTTTTGACTCTACCTGGCAGGCATATTTTTCTTTTATTTTCATCTTTAATTCCTCAATAAATTTGAGATTTTCTCTGAAAACTCTCAACATTTACCTTTGATATGCCCTTTCTTTTAATAATAATTGCAATAAATATTACTTTTGGAAAAATATTTACCCTTCTTTTAGAGAAAATTTTATAATAGAAAATCTCTTACTTTGGAATTGAAAAAGTGTCATGGCAGATATTTCAAGAGATGAACAATTAATCATCACCATGCTTCTACCTTCTTCAGCAAGTATATGAGAAGAAACTTCATTCATAGAAGGGAGATTTTCTTTGCTAGCGATTAGAATTTGAATATGGTCAAATTCATTATTGAGTCCTGCTAGAAACTCAATAACTCTCACTCCACAAATTACGCATCCTCATAGTATGCCATCTTGAGCTATAGTCAATAACAATTCACATCTTTAAAGTATTCAATTACAGGAAAATTAATTGTTTATTAGTAGTGAGCATCATTCACCTTTTGAGTTGGTTTAATTAGTTGCATCACAAACCTCTACTTTAGTGGAGAGAAACATAGAATGCCCATTGATCTCCGATAGGATGGTGTTCTACAATCACGTACTGATTTTGGAACTAATTTCTTTCCAAAATACAAGCTTTGGGTCTTTAGGCTCTAGAGGTAGACAGAAAAAATGTCAGATCGTTCATTTTCCTTTTAGAAAGTTTTTTAATGATTTAGTACCATTCAAGATAATTTTTCACGTTCAAATAATAAAATTCTTGAAATTCTTGGAGATCCACCTCGGTCTAATTTTCATCATAAATCATTAACAGATCCTTTAAAAAGTTAAAAAATCAAGACATGGTGAATAGGAGAATCGGATAAGACAAATAAAATTGGAAGTGAAATGCCTAACTGTAAGAGAAAAAAACAAAGAATGAAAGAAAACATAATCTTGCTCTAATATCATGCAAAAAATAAAATAATGAAAAGAAACTTATGAAAAAATAAAAACAATTGAGAAAACCCTCAAGAACAAAAAGTTATATATGTATCTACAAGAGGAGTAACAATGGAAGTGAAACTCCTAACCCTAAGAGAAAAAGAACAAAGGCTGAAACAAACCATAATCTTGCTCTAATATCATGCAAAAAAAAATAATGAAAAGAAACTTTTGAAAAAATAAAAACAATGGAGAAAAACTCTCAAAAACAAAAAGTTATATATGTACCTCCAAGAGAAGCCATGATAAACAAAATAGGGAAAAAAAGAAGAGGTCAACGATCTCCAAGGGAAGCACACAAGTTGCAATCCAATGGCCATCAAGACATTGATCCACCAGCACAAAGCTTTGATCCTCATGCTTTAAATTCTTTATTATAATTCGAAAGTGAGCCCACTATAGCACTTATTATTGTAATGTGTAATGTAGCACGACACTATAGAAAATTAGAAAAAATTGAACACTTTTTAATACTTTAAAAACTTTTCCTTACCAAGTACTCATCATTTTTATAAAAATGTCATTTCTTTCGAGCTATCAATAATGCCATCACTTATTCTAGTTATTACTTCATACAAGTGCAAGTATTTTTCTTTATTAAATCTTTCTAGTTTGCATCATTTGTTAGGGTTTATTTGAAGCAACATTTTTAATGCTATGCTTGTCAAACTACTGCGACACTTTTGTACAACTATTTCTTTTCATAAATTTTTATAGTGAGAAGCAATAATTTACAACACAATATAAAGTATGATAGTTGTAAGAAAATTGTTATTGGATTTTGTTTTGCAACAACAACAACAAAGCCTTAATCCCACTACGTAGGGTAGGCTACATGAATTCTTTTTCTCCATTGCGTCCTATTTAGTGTCATGTTTTCATTTAGTTCTAGTAAATTAAGATCATTTTTTATACA